TTTCATACGTAAAACTTTAATTGCATCATTTGGGGATTTTCTGAACAAGAATCTTAGAGAATCACGATCTTCTTTCCTCATAAAAATTCTATGGAACATTTCTGAGATGTCTCCCTTAATCAAGAACTTCCCTTCTCTCATATTAAACAAAAGTTTTAAGCAATTCGTATAAAGATTGGGGCCAGATAGTAAAAAGTCATTTAATGACTTTCCTTCCACTTTAGTCGCGGCATCCCATATGAAACGTGTACGTTTTTCTTTTGGTTGGATGAAAAATGTAGGGAGATAAAAGGTTCTTTCAGGATATGAATAGACCTCTTTACGTGGAACTTCCTCAGCGTATTCTTTATTCAATAAATTCTCCACTTGTTCAATGCATTCATCATAACGTCCATTCTTCATACACTTATTCTCAACTATTAATAAACGTCTAAGAGCTACTTTATAAGAAGCTTCTGTGGGAAGTTTAATATCTTCCTTTTCCCAGAGAAGTGGAGCTTCATAATTAATTCCATTCTCACTTCTTTTGACGTGCTTATCAAGTATTTCGATTGCTAAAGTATCTTTATATGATGCGTTTTCGTTTTGTGAAGGTTTCTTATAATCAACACCCATTAGTTCTGTTTCTAAAGTATCATATTCATGCTCTTCAGTTTCTGATAGAGTTTTGTATTGTTTAAAAGAATGGAACGTATTATATTGAGAATGTGATGGGAATTTGTTCTTTTCCATTTCAAAGTTGTAAACCTGTTCTAATTGATGGATATTTCCGACCACATAATCACCTAAAGGAGATCTTATTCCATAAGGGATATTGCTAGTCCAACTTGGAGGCTTAAAAACTTCGACTTGATCGAAACACCATAGATTATCGATCCCAATAATGCCTGAAATCTTCTGATAATTAGTTAAATGCAGTGGCATCAAATGTGGATAATTTAAATACATCTCATGTGCATCAAATGGTTGATCTTCCATTTTTAGATCTTTCACAGTTCTCATGTAAAGGTCATATGCTTTAGAATCATTATTCATTCCACATACTTTAGATTTAATAATTCGAGATCCATAATCGACTCGATTTAGGTTTCCAGACCACAATAGTTTAAGTGGTTGCCAAGCACCTTTTATTTCTAATCTATCGGCTAACTCTTGTTCAATTATTGACACTGCACTACCTGTGTCTAAAAGAAATGCTGCATTTGTGTCAGTGCCTACGAATTTAACTACAATGATGCCTAATATACATGGAGAACATACTTCGTCGAATTTTGAATTGTCAGAATTTTGACTGTAAGCATTACAAGCTTTAATGTGGTTGTTTTTATAAGTAGCATGTGAATTTTGATCAACTGATATTCTTTCAGGCGGATTATTGATATAAAAGTTACTTTTCGGGATATCAATTACTAAAGGAGGTGCCGAAGGAGTTTGTTCACGTCTTTCAGGTAAATCTTCCTTAGTCTTACAATTGTAATTGCGTTTAAATGTTCGTTGAGGTATTCTTGAGTCAGGTCTTTTATAATTATTATTATTATTCTGTGGGCTATTATGTTCAGGTCTTCCTTTACGTTTATAGCAAAAGAGAATATGGTGTTTGAAGTTGCATCCTTCAATCTTACATGGATTCTTGTAAGAACAACCTTTATGCTTTGGAACTCCGCAAAACGTACATATATTTCGCTTTTTAGCTAACTCAGACACTTCTTTACCCGATAGTGACCATAATTTAGAACATGAGAATGCCGAATGGCTATTAGAATCATGATACCAGCATTGCGTATTACCAGAACGAGCAGATTCAATGTTATTGACTGAATTAGAAGAAGAATGCTGATAACTACGTCTGTATGGGATTTGTGGTTTGTTAAAGCTCTTAAAATTGTTTGATTCCCTCCATGGATCTACTTCTTCTGCTGCCATTTTTGAATTAAGGAATGAAATTTGTTCTGATAAATATTTGGATAAATGTTTTAGTGAAATCTCTTTATCTTTATCGTCACGTTTGGCTTTTAACTTATGCCATCCATTCATCATATTACTGGGCATTATATTAGCTATATGAGAAATAACTCTATCGTCTATCATATGCTTCTTTTTACCATACTTCTTTACTACTTGATGATAATTCACGATCTTATTAATAAAGTCTATAAGCTTGCTACTTTCTGTATCAAACTTAAATTTCTTCATGCTAATAATATCTTTGGTTTCATTTTTTAAAAGATTCATAGATCTAGACACACGTTTATTAATAATCTTTAATGTTTCCCAAGCAGTTAAAGGATTGAATAGATTCATTCCACCAATATCAATTAATTCTTTTGCCTTAATAGAACTTTGGATTCTTAGAACGTTCTCAGAGCGTGAAAATAACTTTCTGGATTTCTTAAACATGTCATAGAAAACTGTCCATTTACTGTCTACTGTGTCAACTACAGGAAGTCTTTCGTACTTTGATTTTAAGCTTTCTTTATGACTTAATTTAAAAAGACCTAATAACAATTTAGTTTTAGACAACCCATCATCATCATCATCCTCGTCATCATCACTTGAATTACTCGATTCTGAAGAAGAAGAGCTTGTTGAATCATCGCGCTTTCTATTGGATTTCTTTTTCCTACGTTTTGGATAATCATCGCTACTGGATGATGATGAGGAAGAATCAGAAAAATCAGAAGAAGAGGAAGATGAAGAGGAAGGGATATATTTATTATGAGATGATTTTCTTTTTGATTTACTTTTCTTTAATCTTTTATCTCGATCACTTTTTTGTGTCGATTTCTTATTTTTATTTTTGGATTTGGTTTGGGAGTAAGACATGTCAGTATTCTGATCACGCTTCATATCAATGCGTTGTTTCTTTTTTAAATTTTCTATACGAATCGCGTCTGCTAAACAATTTTGGCAGTAAAACTTTCCATTCTTAACTGCTGCCTGTTCCATGTCCGGAATACATTCATAATGATAGGTAGTTCTACATTGACTGCAATGAATACCTTTGGTCTCATCAGTAAATCCAGTATCACAAACATCGCAATTAAAATTTTTAAACAGCTCTTTTGCGTTTACATTTTTAGCATGAGGATTAACAAATTCCTCTGTATTTGATTTTTCATCAACTAATAATATGCTTACATTATCGTCTTTATTAGCTTTATTTGAGTCATTTGAATTTTCATTGACATTAGAATTAATGGAAGTGTTTGGATCTACTGGATTTATTTGGATGTTCTCAAATGATTTAGTTAAAGTATCCATTAGCTCATCAACAGGTTTAGCAGGTGTGGAAGTAGATTTGGAAGTAGTAACAGATTTTCGTAAAGGAAAATGAATCTCTTCTAAATGATTAATACAATACCATTGTCTTGTTTTACTTAAATGATGTTCATTGAAGCAATTCATATGTGTCCAAACTGAACAAGGACCTACTGTACATTTTAATCTAGTCTCATTTTGTGAATCATAAGGCTTACCACAATCAAAACAGTTTCTCATGCTTTAAATGCTTAATATTTAATATTTTATATTTAATTTTCAATAATTCAGGTTAAATTTTATATTTTTGTTCAAATTATTCAATTTTCTTTATATCCGACAACAAATCATATATTTTTACTGTTTAATGCTCAAAAGAGCTATTATGAACACTAATTTTTATATATAAATATCGTATATGTCCTTACTGGATCATAAACGAAAACACATGGTGCTATACTTCACATTTCTCAAATTTACACTCATTAAAAGTGTAATAATTAATCGTGTCGCACATTTATTCTTAAAATAGTTTTGGACATACCATTTCGTGATGTAATCCTTTAGATCCAACAGCAAATATTAAAACAACTTGAATTAATCTTGAAATTCTCTTCAATTTTATTTTGGAGTCAAAATCTTTCTTCTTTTCTCCTTCTTTCTTAGCGAACCTTTGCAGGATTATTACACCTAATTTATTTTATTTAAAAAGTTACAAAATGTTTAATTCAATTATTATTTTTCTTACTTTTAGTCCTCTTTTGTGCTACACGTTCTTCTTTTTTTTTTGATTAAATTCTTTTTTAGGGGTAGGAAAAAACTCCCAGTAAATTTCGAAAATTGATATGAATTTAAAAAGAACGTTTAATATTTCAAAATTAAGAAAAATGATGAAACTAATGAATTTGTATATGTTAAATAAAGAAAAATATGTATTTTTCTTTACATCCTCATTCGGTGTGAAAGTCTTTAATAGTCTTCCGCTTGATCTCAAGGAACTCAAACATCCAGCAGCTTTCAAATGGGCCCTTAAGTGTCACATCAGAAATGAGTCCTTCATATCTACATGCTTTTCAAATGAATACTTAAAAAAGTACTGCTGATCTTCTTTTTCTCCTGTTTGGGTATCTAAAATGAAAACAAATTAAGACACATATTAGATCAAGATAAAACATGATAAAATTATGTAATTTAAACATCAACTTAGCTTTTCCTTGGATTTGTTTATGCACATAATGGGAATATTTGTCGTCTATCGTCGCTTATATGTTTCGTCGTGTTTCATCGTCCTGAACCAGCAAATTGCTTAAATATTTATTTATTTTAATTTAAACTTGTTTATTATTGTTTACAAAACTGAAATCAATTTTTGAACTGAGTAATTTTAAATTTTGAACAACCGTTATCTTTATCAAGTTTTCAAATTCAAAATGTTCGTTTTTTATGAGTTTCTTAAGAGATTTAATTTAAATCATTGAAACTCATTATTTATATGTATCTGTATTACAACAACATTCTATAATAAAAATAATAATAATAATAATAATAATAATGTTCCATCAAATGGAAATGCCAATTGATTGGAATCGAATGGCTCAATTTGATCCATTTAATTCAAACAATCCTAATCCATTTGTACAGCCTGCGAATCCATTTATGCAAGTTACTGGAATGTCTATGAAAATAAACTCTTTCCCTAGTTTCCCTAGTTTCCCTAATATGGGTAAATAAAAGCTTAATTTGAAAATTTTGTCGTCTTCATGGTTCTTTTATTTAATCAGGCATTTAATTGCATTTATAATAACCGAGACGGCGAGCTTCATTTAAAGCAGCAATAAATGAATTTAAAATTTCCTCACATGTCGGCTTAATTTCACGCGCAGGAAGGATGAAAAGAGTTGGCGTGTCTGGCGGTCCTCTAAGTTCAATTGTAAAGACAATTGGAATATCATAATTAGTATAAACGTAGTCGCGACTTGATCCACTACTAGGATAAATTGTCTCAATTGCACTTCCAGTTTTATAAGTTCTTCTATGAGTTTTTTCAATTGCTTCGATTGCCTTCTCACCAATTTTCTTCAAATCTTTATGATTTTTTACAGGCTCTGCTGACCAGCCAAAAGGTGACATGTACAACTGACTGAAGCTATGAAGTGTGTAATACGTTTTAATATTACACTTCTTGGCATTCTCATCTAAGAAATTTTTCACAGCCAATGCTTCAGGCTCTGAGAAAGCATTCGATCCACAAAAGTCATAACTTGCTTTATCCATTGAAGCACCAATCCCACCGAAATCAACATCAAAGTTTCTATTCAGATCAACACCTTTGCATCGTCCGTATGGCTTTGTATTTTTACGCCACAATCTGTCTTTTTCAAACGTGTATTTATATCCGTCAGCGTTAAGCACAGGAACAAAATACCAGTCAAAATTCTCTGCTAAGTCAACAACTTCTGGATCTGAGGAATAGGACATAATTTTGAAAGAAATGATTAGGATTGTGACATTACAAACCTTTAGAATGAATCAGCTGATCAATAAGATAAGTGGCAACAGCAGGAGCGATCCATTCTCTAGCATGAATGCAAGCATCAATAAAGATTCCTGTATTTCCACTTTTCTTAGATATTTTGAGTCCTCTAATTGGAAGTCCTTCATAAGTTGACCCGATCTGAAAGCCTTCAACAAAGTCATTTTCAGCAATTTGCTTGTCTATCCATTTAAAGATTGTTTCTAAATGGAAGTAATGATCCCAGTCAAACTCTGATGCTGGAGTATCTTTAGATTTTATGGTCAGTGCTTCATCATCAATCAGCTTTTGGATGTTGGACTCAAGTGTTTTGCACTCAAAATCATACCTTTCAATCAAGTCTTGAAGTTCATAAATCCTAAACCACATAAAATCAGTTTTTAAATTCATAAATGAACAAGATTGAGGAGGATATACTTATGAGCAGCAACCATGATCGTTAAATCTTGACCAACTTTTCTAGCATGTCCATAAAATGTATAAGAATCAGATTCAGCTTCTAATTCTTGAAATAACTTGACATGATCATCAGTTTTTAAAGTAACCCTGACTAATCGGTAATTATCGTATCTGGCTTTGGGTTCCATGATTTTATAAGTGATGTATAGTATGGGATCTTCTTATTATTTAGGATGACAAAGCAAAAATTAAGGATTTCAATGGAATAATTATTATTCGTAGATTTATTTGAATAAATGTAAGTTCCTAACACAATCGAAATCACTTCCGATGAAAATGATAATTTCACAAAGAATTGTTGTGTGATAAATGATAAGTTAAACCACAAAATAAAGTTTATTCAATATTTGTATGTAAATAAACTGAGAGAGACATGATCAAGTGCTTCCCTCTCAGTTAAGATTCATTTCCTAAAATCCTAAACTTAGGTCTATCTAGAGTCAAAACACAGTTCAGATCATAGCTTTCAACTTAATAAGCATTAGTTTAGTAGATTTGCTGTCTTTTAAAGCTCTAATATGGTCTTAAATCCATAAATAAACAAAATGCATCTTATCAGCTGTTTGCGAGAGAATGAGAGTAAGCACAAAGTTGCTCAGAGAAAAGTGAGTACAAGTGTAGTTGAGGACATAGAACTGATGCGCACTTTTTAAATATCTCAATATTATGAACCTTAATTGTCTGAATTATTCAAGTTGTATTTAAAATTGAGAATCCTTCCTTAATCATAAACTCATAATCTCTAATCATAGTCTGAATTTTTCAACGGCATTCTAAAGAGTCATTCAATAGAAACATAACCCACCCCCAATTCAAAAGTAGATCTTGAAAATATCAAAAAAATTATTTCAAGGTCACCAACCTAATTTGTTAAATTTTTTAAAAGAGTGAAACAAGTCACAGTTTTATGCAAGACGCAAAATTTGTTGCATAGAAAAATATAGAATGTTTTTAAAAAATGTGTGAAGGTCACTTACTCATACAGACAATGTGAGCATTATCAAAAATTGCTTTTTCATGGAAATGAATGAAAAGTGTATGGCAGGGTTGGAGCATCATGATCTCTAGCTTGAACTGTTGTTGTAGGAGGAAATAACTCTAATGCCGTATATTGAATAATACTAGCTTTATGAGATCTTCTATTTTTTCGACAAGGGTGTGACATGAGGTAGGGTCAATTTTTACTAGCGACTTTATGCCAAAATGCTGACACTTGCTACACTTATTTTGCACAGTAATTGCTACAAACTGAAAAAGATGATATAATTTTTTTAAGATAGCTAGAAATCACAAGAACTTCGTTAGTCTTTTTCCTACTCTGTCAAACACATTGGTTCTATAAAAAAAAATCAAGGAAGCCACAAGTGTATTAATAAGTTTATGCTAAAATATTTTATCGCCTTTTGTGTGTATTCTTGTATCAAAAATGTTGGATAAAAGTATAATATTATTAAGTTTGTGTCTAATATCGGCAGTGATGTCGTGCGGACAGGATGAAAATAAAGCTAGATACGACAATTATCGCTTAGTAAGATTAACTTTAAAGACGACTGATCATGTAGATTTATTGCAAGAATTAGAAGAGGAATCAGACTCATATACATTTTATGGACATGCATTAAGGCCGGATCAAAATTTGACAGTCCTAGTAGCTGCTCACAAGTAAGTTGGATAATTATAGGAACAATTAAATTAAATTTAATCTTTCATTTCGACAGAATATATGAAATGCAAGATATAGTCGAGCGTAATGGGATGGATTGTACAGTTTTGGTAAGTATCTTATCTTATCAGTCACGTTTTGTATGAGAGTCATCCACTTGAGATAATGAAACTTTAAATTAGTTCCTCTCGAACGCTATTTAATTAATAAATGAATGTCTATGTTCTTATCATTTTCAGCAACCAAACATCCAAAAGCTGATTGATGATGAAGATTCCACTGTCAAGTCCAAAAATACTCCAGCATCAGAATTCGATTGGGATCATTACTTCCATTTAGAAACTATCTTTAGTTGGATGGACAAGCAAATTGCTGAAAATGACTTTGTTGAAGCTTTACATCTTGGATCGACTTATGAAGGACTTCCAATTAGAGGACTCAAAATATCTAAGAAAAGTGGAAATACTGGGATATTCGTTGAAGCTGGCATTCACGCTAGAGAGTGGATTTCACCTGCTGTTGCCACTTATCTTATTGATCAGCTGATTCATTCCGAAGGTAAGAAGTTCTTCAGTAATTTTTTAACATTTCCTTCAAAATTATGTCCTATTCCTCAGATCCAGAAGTCGTTGACTTAGCAGAGAATTTTGACTGGTACTTTGTTCCTGTTCTTAATGCTGATGGATATAAATACACATTTGAAAAAGACAGATTGTGGCGTAAAAATACAAAGCCATATGGACGATGCAAAGGTGTTGATCTCAATAGAAATTTTGACATTCACTGGAGTGGAACTGGATCATCTACAAAGAAATGTACTTATGACTTTTGTGGTTCAAAAGCATTCTCAGAACCTGAGGCGCTTGCAGTTAAATTATTCTTAGACGAATTTGCTAATAAAAACAAAATTCAGACTTACTTCTCACTACACAGCTTTAGTCAGCTGTACATGTTTCCATTTGGATTTACAACTGATCGGGCAAGGAATTATGATGATCTAAAAAAGATTGGTGAGAAAGCAGTTGAAGCCATAAAAAATACACACGGAAAAATTTACCAAACCGGCAGTTCCATCGAGACAATTTATCCAAATAGTGGTGACAGCATGGACTTTGTTTACTCAAACTATAATATTCCAATAGTATATACGATTGAATTACGTGGACCACCAGAAACACCCACACTGTTCATTCTCCCCGCAGCAGAAATTAAGCCGACGTGTGAAGAAATATTAAACTCATTTATTGCTGCTTTGAAGGAAGCACGACAACTCGGTTATTATAAACGAGATGAGCTCTAAGTTGTCAAATCAAGCGTCTCAATAACAATTATTTTTTGTATGTAAACATACCTTCATATCCACGCGCAAATAAAGTTCGTAAGATCTTTCATTTTCATAAAACAAAACAGCACGTTCAGCTTCTCTTAGTTAATTATTGTTTTCTCTCCTTTGTAGTCATTCATAAATGACGTCTTTTAGAAAATGCAATTTTTTAGACTTTCCTCCTCTTCTCTATCCCATATTTATCATTCAAAAAATAATTCTTTCCCAAAAAATTTGACATCATTTTTGAATAACCCTTCATGTCTTTTTATTATCACGTATTGTGCTTCTCTTACAGTTATTTATAGGATAACGTTCAAAACAATCGCACGCAAATAAAATTAAAGGCATCAGCATAAAGGAAGACTTGATAGTAGGGCACTAGATCTGCAACTGTGAATATCGTACTTTGTATTTTAATTGACGAAGGTATGAATTGCTAAGTTTTTTGTTTCAGAGAATATTTGTGTGGCTCCTATGAAGATATGGATGCATTAAGTAAATATTTAGAAACATTGAGCATAAACAGCGGTAACGTAGTGAACCCAAGGGAGTGTTTTTAGGAATTAATGTAAATAAACTAAGTTCCAATCGACGAGCATTTAAAAATATCTTAATTCTGAACTAAGTTAGTGTTCCAGCATGTATCTTGTTTAAAACATTTAAAGCAAATCTTAAAGTACCAAATTCAAAGTGAACTCTCAAATTCTCGCAAACTTTACTGAAGCTCTTATAGAATTTGCAAATGTCTTTACAATGTAGTGAGGTCGAAAATGTCATTAGCTATGTAGAAACTAAATTTAAGTCGATGCCTACCGAAAAACAGAATAAAAGAGGTAAAAAATGTTTGTCACTCTAATTGAGTCATTTTCGCTTAAATTGAAAAATCGATTTATTTTTAAGATGAATTGAGGCGCTTTGTAAAATAATTAATGAGATGATAAACTGTGACAATTTATATGAGAACATTCAATGCATGGCATGAATGACTTGATTGATCTGTTTGTAGAATAATAATGTTTGTAGACAAAATAAGGAAGTTGTAAGAATCATTCTTACCCAAAGTCATTAATTCAAAATTTGATTTTAAAAGGATTTATATTCCGGCATCTGATTATCTTATAAGCCAATATTTAAGCAATATTAAATCAAACAAAATGCCAAAGTCTGCAAAAAAGCTAATCAATAAATTTTTCTTGATCAAATTTTAGCAGTCGATTTTCTCACGGTCCAATACTAATATTATTATTCTATAGTCATTGCGGTTCACAGATTAAGCATCTGTTGATAAGTTGCTAAGATTCATTACTTGAATGTCGGGTTAATCCCGTACAACTTGTGGTTGCACACATCTCATTCACTTATGTAAATCTTCTCATCAATTTCTGTACTTATAACTGTAATGCTGACATATAAAGCATGTCAAAGGAAATGTAGAAAAATTCTATAAAATCACTCTAAATTAAAAAGTTCAGCTGCCTTACTCAATTTAATTTTATATCAGTTATGGCCATTTCGCACTAAATCTTTCGCATGTTCTTCTATTTTTATTCTTTTGAGCATATCCGATAGAATCTTTTCTTGTGACTGCTTTCTTAGCAAATTAATTTTCTCCTCTTAAAAATTAAAGAGAGAACTGCGAGCAGCTCAAATGGAAATAAATGGATGTTGATGTTTTACTTGACGTGTCACTATGTCTGTTTTGAGTCTGATTAACATACAGAAATAAAAAATATGCACGGAACTAGATATACTAGGTGTGTGTGGAATTATTTAGATTATAGCTAATAAGTATTGATCTTAATGTGCAATATTTGAATATGCTAATTGACCTTGGTTCTACTTTTTTTGAAACTTGAGATTATTAACATTCTGTGGAACAATAAACAATGTCAATGACTTTGTTAATGATTTTTTTTTAAAACAATTATCAACCGAGTGATATTTCCAGTTTGCCAAAAAGCTTAGTATAAAGAAGTTGTGGTTAATAATTTAAAACTGTAAGCTTTATTTGAATTTAGAGTTCTTTAAAATAAAAATTTTGATATAATTTAAACTAAAACTTAGTTGAAAAGTTATAGGATCCATTAGGAAGTCATGACTAATGCGAGTTCATACTCTGTGGTTGGTTGGAACTAGCCCAACATAAACTTCCCTCTTTAGGAATGTCAAATAGAGGAGATTAATTGCCATTAATTGTTTGAGCTTTGATTTTATAAAGTCTTTTAAGCAGGCTAGGTTCAAAATCGTTCCTTGAGCTCTTAAATCGAATTCTAGCACGAATTGATGCTCAAAATCCATCCTACAGATTAAAAATGCTTCATACATTCTCAAACTCTAGTTTATTTTCAAACTAGATCATCCAATAGAAATGATTTGGATTTATATGCTGAGAGCGTAACCACTTTTCTTTCTTTCTTTTTCCATTTAAAAGCCAGCCAAAATATTTTTATTCAGTTCCTTGCCACAGTCATATTTTTATTAAAATGGAAAACTGTGCAGTTTGCGGTATAGAATCAAAGCAAAAGTGCTCTGGATGCAATTTAGTATTTTATTGTTCACGAGATCATCAAGTTGCTGACTGGAAAAATGGACATAAAACAAATTGCAAGTGCTATGATGTAATACCTGATACAAGGATTAATTAAAAGATTATTAAAGACTTTACTAAATTTCAGATCTCATCCAATAACATTTTAGGACGGTACATGGTAGCAAAACGTGACATTAAGCCTGGAGAAATTATTTTACGTGAAAAGCCAATTGTCATTGGACCTAAAACAATATCGAATGTGATGTGTTTAGGATGTCATCAACTATTAAATGTAAATTATTACAAGTGCTCAAAATGCACATGGCCACTTTGTGGAAAGAGCTGCGAGACATCAGAATATCATGTAGACGAATGCAAACTTATGTCATCAAAGAATTTTAAATCTTCAATCAAAGAAGTAGGAAAATTAGAATCAAGTTATTGCGTCATAGTTCCGCTTAGAGTGATTTTTATGAGAAAGAACCAGCCCAAGATGTGAGTGGATTGTTGTTAAATTTGGGTTGTGTATTTAATTCTGTTGAATCAGTTTTATGTTCCCTTTATCTATTACTCCAGTGCTTTGCAAGCTTGAACCATACCTTAAAAGAATCTTAATTACAGAATCTTTTACTTCTAGGTATCAACAATTCTCAAAGCTTGTCTCACATATTGACCGAAGGATATCAACAAAGCTTTATGATGTACTTCGAGCGAATCTAGTTCCATTCATACTCAATTTCCTTCAAATTCCTGATCTTACGGAAAATGAAATTCTAGAAATTGCAGGTATTTTAGATACAAATTGCTTCGAAGTTCTTCTAACATCCAAAAAGGTCAAAGCTCGTGGAATTTATTATGAAACAGCCATGATGGCTCATGAATGTATCCCAAATACAAAACATTTTGTAGATGAAAATTATGAAATGAAAGTTTTCGCAACACAGATGATTAAAAAAGGAGAAATGATTCTGACAAGCTACTCACATCCTTTAAAAACAACACTTGAAAGACGACTAGCTATAAATTTAGCAAAATGCTTCGATTGTGTATGTCCAAGATGTATAGATGCTACAGAAAAAAATACATTTTCATCTTCGATTAAATGTAGCACATGTAAAGATGGTGTGCTGACATCTTGTGATCCACTCACAAACTTATCTGAATGGCAATGTATTAAGTGCGAGCATAAAGTTTCAGGCGCAAAAATAATTCAACTGACGAGTGAGATTCGCAAGAGTTTGGATCACTTAAACAAGAGATCGGTAGTTGAGTGTGAAAATTTTATAAAAAGCTACAAAAAGTTCTTGCCGGACTCGAGTGTGTTTATGATGGATGTCAAATATGCACTTTGTATGCTTTATGGGAATGTTGATGGATACTTTTTTAGAGGTAATGTATTTTTTTGACATGAATTTAGGATATACTGTAATATTTCATTCCACAGATTTATCTCCTGACCAAATCCAAAGGAAACTGGATCTTTGCAATCAATTACTATCAGAACTCTCAATCCTTGAGCCTGGAATATCAAATTCCTTCTTAAACACTAAATTTGAGCTGAATGTTGCCGAAATTTTAAAAATTAAAAGTCAATTTAAGCCAAATAATGAAACTTCAAAGCTCATAGAAATTCACATGGAAAGGATCACCGAGACTTATAATTTACTAAGAGTAGCTAGTGATGGAAAAGCTTTAATCGATAACCGTTATAAGAAAATTAAAGAAGAAAGTTCATTGTAGATTTTAAAGCTTGACTTTGTAGTTCACTTACATTTACAGTATAAAATTTGTGTATGTCTAAAAATAGAAAATTACCGGTCTTGCCGGTATGTTTTGATTTTTTTTCGTTTTATAAACATTGGGTATTTAAACTTTAGAGGAAGTAATATGACGTAAGCTTCATAGGAAATTATTTTGGTGTCAATAAATTTTAGAACTGATGTCATTGTTTTGATGTTTTCAGGATCTACATTTGAAGATGAAGGTAGTCTTAAGCAGTGCTGCTTAAGCTATGCTTCATGACATCCCCGTGCTTAATGTATCACACTCTGATTTGCTTGAATTTAATCCAAACTCTTTATGTTACCAAAATTGTTGATGGCTTTCCACTGATTTGTGACTGGTTCCTACACATCCTCAGACTTTATATTGATAACTATCGACGGGGTTTTCCCATTAAGAATTTTTTATCTGTGACTGACACAGAAATCTAAATAACATCACTGATAATGCCACAAAAGCATGTCACTCAATTCCCTGTCAAATAATTTCAAAATAAGCCATGCAAATATCCAAAGTCAAAGACTTTTTGACACAGCAAATACGCATTAAAAACTATTACGAAATGGCCAACACGGCATTATAAATATTTTGAATCGGAGGTGATAACAAGCATTTACAGTATTGCCATAAAAATTCGAGGAACTGAGTAAATAATTTTAGTATCAATGAGTCGAACATTGTTTACGAATTTTAAATGCGAACATTTGTCAAAAGATACAAGAATTAAGCGTGTGGTGTAAGGGAAAGAAAACATTTTTTGCTCTAGATAAAGAGACACAATACTCATACTTATATCTAAAATAGAATCGAAAATCAAAACATCATGGGACTTAAATGGGATTGTCTGCTCTTTTCTAATGCATGTTTTTTTGCGAAAAATAAAACAAAAATTTTGAAGTAAAGCTGGCAATGTTAATTAAGGTTCGTGACTCATTATGTAGTCATAAATATTGAGCACCCACAGTTCAAAGTCTTTAAAAATAAAATACTTTCCTGCTTACAATCAGTCACGTTGCGATTGTTTTTTATTTATATATTGATTTCCAGGCTTAATCTTCCTTCTGTAGGTCACAATTGACACTCGACAGAGATAGATGAACCTTCATCTTAATGAGAGATAACTCGAGACTATGAGGAGACTAGCTGCTAATGTAGTACGAAGGTTACTGAAGTTTATGACATATTAGTGTAAAGTATCTTATTTTCATGCAACGGGTAAATATCACCACATAGATATGTGTTTACAATAGCTGTATGGAATGAACATTTTTTTTTTCTTCTCTCTTCTAAAAATACATTTGAAGTTGTGTGTAGTCGAGTTGGAAGGCCATTGATGGAATAAAATTGAATGTCAATCGCGCTTTTAGTGATTAAACTATTTAATTGGCGATTAAAAAAGATGTATTGACTATCCACATACTTAATTAAATGTAAGGAATTGATTACAATGATAAAGAAAACTTGTTCGCTTCTGCGCACGCACTTTTAATAGGTCAGTTCTGATTACAAGAGGAAAAATCAATACACTCATGTCAGTTTACACAGCGAAGATTCACAGCTCGTACCAAAGTGAAGAATTCAGTCACTCATGCCGCAAAAATCACAGCTATTGAGAAAAATAAATTCAGGCTAGCATGAAAAATAGTAATAGTTGAAGTATCTAAGCGAAAAAAGGCCGTGAAAAGTTCTTAAAATTAATTATTAAGGCAAATTTAAATTCGTCGACCTAAAATGGGCGAGTCAGAGCTATTAGATGAGAAGGATATTAAAAAGTATGAGCAAATTTTCAAAAAATTAGACGTAAATCACAATGGTCGTGTCGATATTCACAATTTACGGGATGAACTTGGAATGTCAGAGAAATATGCTCAGCAATTTATTGCAAAGTCAGACAGCGATTCATCTGGTGATGTCAGTCTCAAAGAATTCATTGGTTATTTGCAGGATCAAGAGAAAAATTTGAGACTTCAATTCTCAAAATTAGATAGAAATCATGACGGGAAAGTAGAGCTTGATGAGATGATTACAGCTTTTAAAGAATTAGGCGTAAATATGGATTATGGCGAGGCAGTGAAGCTATTTAAGCGAATGGATAAGGATGGAAGTCTTGACATAAGCTATAATGAATGGAGAAGTTTCTTACTCTTAGCACCGTCCACAGATATCCATGATATTGTTAAATATTGGAGGCACAGCACATACCTTGACATTGGTGAAGATTTTACAGTTCCTGATGATTTTACAGAGACAGAATTAAAGACGGGACTATGGTGGAGACATTTAGTTGCAGGCGCTATCGCTGGTGGTGTTTCAAGGACATCTACAGCACCAGCTGATCGTTTAAGAGTCATGCTACAAGTTTATCATTCAAAACAAAAAATGACAGAGTGTTTTAGTTATATGTTAAAAGAAGGTGGTTGGAGGAGCTTATGGCGTGGTAATGGCTTAAATGTTGTGAAAATAGCACCAGAGTCTGCATTGAAATTCATGGTCTATGAACAAGTCAAGAGATTTATTCGCGGTGAAACTAATCGTCCATTGACAATATTTGAAAGATTTGTGTCAGGTGCTGTTGCTGGTTGTGTCTCACAATCTGCAATATATCCAATGGAAGTGCTTAAGACACGTTTGGCAATTCGAAAAACTGGTCAGTATAATGGAGTCGTTGATGCAATCAAAAAGATTTATGTGAATGAAGGAATTAGAACTTTCTACAGAGGATATATCCCTAATTTACTTGGTATTATTCCATATGCTGGAATTGATCTCGCAGTCTATGAGACATTAAAGAGACATTACTTAAGTACAAATGGTTCACAAGTTCCACAAGTATGGCTACTTTTAGCATGTGGAAGTACCTCATCTACAATAGCACAGGTTGTGTCATATCCTCTGGCTTTAGTGCGAACAAAATTACAAGCAATGAAAGTAAAAACCACCGAAGTCAGCCTAAATGCTGAAGGCATTGCAATGGCACATCCAATTCGCGATCACACAATGTCCACAATGTTCAAGAAGATAATCAGAGAAGAAGGCTTTCAAGGTCTTTATCGTGGAATCACACCCAATTTTATTAAAGTTCTTCCGGCTGTTTCAATTTCTTACATTTCTTACGAACTTATTAGTCAAAAATTGGGAATTAATATGGCTTAAGTTGTTCAATTTGTTATCAATCATGTTATCAAGTATTTCTACGCTTATCGTTGTGAAGCAATATTTTAAATTATTTATCGACTTTTTCTCTTAAATTAATAAACATTTTTCACGATTCTCTCGACATTAATTAATTAACCAATTGTGCATTTACACTCAAATCCATCTTAAGCTTTGTTGAAATGAACAAATTTAAAATAATTAAATCGAAATAAAACGAACAAAAATTTCATGAACGAATACATTTAAAATTTGTTTGAATTTCAAGACACTGTTACGATAATGATCTGAGTATAGCTAAAATGCAGCAAGTTTATAATTGATTTTTAATTCCCCAAAAATAACGGTATTTTTTTAAATTTTTTGACAATTATTCAAATATATTTTGACTGTTTTTTTGAATACTTCATGACCGTTAATTTTCAATTGCGAACTATCAAATTCAGCTTGAACTTTTTTGATTGCTTTATTTTGTAAAGTTATATAATCTAATCTCAATACTTTACTTTATATATCTATAATTATAACATTCTATGGATATCAAATACTTTTCTATAGTTTACCTGTCATTCCTTAAAATATTCTTTCAAACTTTTGGCACTTCGAGGATCTTTCTTGCTCACACAAGGTCGCTTCCGTTTAGTCGCAGAATTTGTATTGTTATTAATTTTCATTTGATCCATGCGTAGCTGCTGTGCAAAATGATAATCTTGATGCATTTGTATATTGTCTATTTCTATTAACTGATTGCACCGTTCACATAAAATGCTGTTATCCCAACTTGTGTCGTGTGCTGCATCCTTTTTAGTAAACTTTTCAATTAAATTGATTTGTGACTTTGTGGCTGTGAATGGTTTAGAGGTAGACGTCGGTCTTTGAGATGGTTTTGAAGCTGTTTTTGGCTTTTGACTTTTTTGAGCACTTTTATTGTCAATTTTTTGCATTAACTTTCTCTTCTGTTCAGCACGATACTCTTCACGTTGAGACATGGATATCTGCATTGCTATATGCCCATCAATATGCGTAATCATGTCTAGTTTTCGAATCATTTTTCCACATTCCAGACATTCTTCAAGTGGATTTAAAATGTCAATCATAGTCGAGACATTTTGAGGCTTTTGGAGTTCTACATATGTGCTTGCATACGATGGACCTGCTACATCTTCTTCTTTAATATTGCTTAAAACTTTATGTGACGGACCTGCTACATCCTCATCTTTAATATTGGTTAAAACTTTATGTGACAAACGTGCTTCTTCAAGATTAATATTTTTTGAATTATTGCCGTTTGCAGCTGAAGGCTCATTTTCTTTAGATTTGACAGGTGACAAGCCGAGGAATGAACGCTCCAATTTAAGAATCTCTTCCTCGTCTTCGTCAACTTCAAGCTGTAAATCTAGTAAGCTACTTGGACGTACATCATCATCATCGAAAAGTTCGTCGCTTAATTGTGGATATAAGATTTCTTCTTTCGTTTCATTTTCCACTTCCGTTAAGCTTTTATCGATTTTAGGAACTGAATTTTCGTCAGTGAATAATTTGCTGTCATCTGCTGTTACCTCCTCAAAGTTAACTTTCCAATGAAACTCTTTATTGCCTGAAAACTCAGCTGCTTCCAATTCTATATGATTTATTGGATCAAAACTTCCAGAATGCTTAATTAAATTAATAAAGAAGTCTATGTTGATTCCGGTGGTGAAAATATTTGTTGGAATCTCTTCAGACTTGCTCTCAATTCCATCACTCTGCAATTGCTTCCAGTTTAATTTAATTACTGATGGATTCAAATTCTGATTCGTAATACTTTTCTGTACTTTTTTGTCAAGTTCTGTAAACAGCTCAAACATCCAGTGCTTCAATGTCTTCTCACCTTTGATGGCATTTTCAGATGTGAATTTAATACATGATTTTAAGCACAAATCTGATATCTGTTCCTTAGTGTCAATTTGTGTATCCATGTTATAAAAATGGTCAGCACTTTGTGCTTCCTTAATATCCTCTGATTTTGTTCCTCTTACAATTGAAACTGTTAAATCGTCTTCTGATTTTATTGCCGCATTTTCAGACTTGGATGCAACGATATTAGCTTTTGGATTGTACTCAAACTTTGTGAATGGATTTTCAGTAGCTGTAGCTGATTTTTCAGTTTTTGGTGTCTTTGGTGACTTTTTTGCATGATTTTTAAGCAGATCCTGAACACTTTTACTAGTTCCTTGGCCTGCATTTGCATCCTCAAGCTTACCAGCAGATATACCTAAATGATTAATATTATTGCTTAATAGGAATGTTCCTTCAGCTTTCACTAGCTGTGTCGTATTTTTTTCAATCGTTTTGAATGCTTCTTCTCCGATTTCATCTGATGTGAAGCTGTTTACAGACTTTCCATTCAATTGCACCGTACGTGAACTTGCCACGCCTTTCTTATTGAACATTTGAGTAAATTGTACAATCATTTGCTTTGACAGTCGATTTGTTTCTTCATGATCCTTATCAAGTCGCTCTTTTAGTTCCTTGGATAGCTCTTTAAGCCAATATTTTAGTGTATTAACATTCATAATTTCATTTTTGCCACGAAAATTTTTACTTACAGCAATCGACTTACTCATGACTTTTCTTTCAACTTTTTCCAGATCAATTCCTCGTGCTATATAATACAAAAAAGTTCCAATTCTAGCTCCAAAATGCTGTTGAAGATCTGCTTCTTCAAATGGAAGTAATTCGCACATAAGTCTGATGCCTAATTTCTTACAGACCTCTTCGCCTATTTTTCCACCCATACTCTTAATCTTGTGTACCTCTAATGTCTCAAAAAGGATCTTTGTCGAATCTATTGGAATTACTGTCTGTTTGTTTGGTTTATTCATACCACATATTAATTTAGCAAGGATCTTATTGTGAGATATTCCTGCACTGCATGTATATCCTGTTTGTTCTTTTACTGCTCTTCGAATGTCACTAACAATGGATGCTCCAATTAATAGTCTTAACTTACTGCTTTCATATGATTCATCGTCACATGTCTCGCTTTTATCAACAGCCATAGACACTTCCTGAATGAATTTTCCAATATTATCGTATCCGACGATGTAAGTATTATGAAGATGCTGTGCTGTTAATGTAAACTTCTTCTCTCTCATTTGCTTAACTCTTTCAGCGACATTTTCCGTTATATCCATATATGCTGGAATTAAGGATTTTAAAAAATTAACATCCAGTAGAACAAAATTAATAAAATTTACCTTCATCTATTGAGGCTCTTTCTAGCATCGTCGTGTATTGCTCGAAAACATTAGCTACTCGCTTGCCTGCATCTCTGTATTTTGAAATATCAGCCTTATTGAATTTTGATGGAACTTTAACACAAATTAAATTTGGACATGCTGCTTTGGCTTCATTTTCTCTCATATGTCGGGTGACTCCTAAAGCTCTGGCTGCATAATTAACAGCTATAATGCCTGCATTCTCAGTATATTGAACAACAGCAATTGGCTTTCCACCTAAATTATCTGGATCTAGTAATTCCTCTACTTGACAGTAGAAGCAGTCCATATCAATTAGCACAATAACCCGATCATACTTTTCCTTCAGTGTTATATACGATTTTGACGACGTCATTGCGATTTAAACTAATTCATTTAACAAAAACATCAAATAAACTGTATTTTTGCGCCTTTATTTAATAACATCCAGCGACCTAGTTCAAATATTTAAAAACCGTTGAATGAAATTTAGAAAAAAATATCACTAATATGATTAAAATATTCATTTATATCAGGAATCTTTTCAGGCTGTGAATGTACAGGATGTGTCTAATGTGGATTTAATTGCGCTACAAGCTTTAGATGGCACATCGGTATTTTTTGCATCTTTTCAAGGGGCAGTCAACTATCTCATATAAATGTCAAGTAAAAATCAAGCAGATAGCGCATTATCCTGTTAATTTAATTATCCACATAATTATTAAACCAACACTGAATATTCAATTTTAAATTGCATGATTATTGTCACTTCAGTCCAGAAACACTCAAAATTAAATCTTATGCTAAAAATCATTGAAAATTACTTGTGGGATTAAAATCATTCAAGAATGAAAAGGCTGGCTCAAATTAATCTATGGATTTCCGCAAATTGAATGAAATGATACAGCATTTAATCTTATAAAATCTCCAGCCAAGCTGGACAAAACGAAGTAAAACACTAGCAAGTCCTTTTCAAAAAAGACGCTAAAAATACACATAAACAGTCAAGATTTTCATTTAATTTATACATTTTAGATCTATTTAATCGGATACGAGACTAGCAAGTGAGGAAAAAAGCAAGCAAATCATAGAGATTTGAGGATAACTGCAGTAACAATTTAGAAGAGGCACAAACATGGAAAGAAATACGTAATTTTTTCATTTGACCTATTTTTCCTTGTTTTTTGGTTCAACATATTTTTCATTTACAGACGTTCAATTATACCGAATAATATGAACAGCAAGCCACGAAGTAATGGACCGATTTCTCCAAGAGAAATAAATTCAAACTATAATCATCATCAATCGCAGCACTGGATCTTAAAAACTGTAACTTTTTTAACTTAATTATTCTTTCATTGTTGGTCCCTAATCAAAGCATTTATTTTGCAATTATCAGCAACAGCAGCAGCAACAAAATCATCAACATCCACATACTCCTTATCATCCGAATTTAGATTTGATTAATTTTGTGTCCAGTGCTTGGAAGGAGAAAGTAAGTTAACGTTTTACATGCTTAATTAATGGTCACTTACTGATGATTGAATCTAAACTTTCAGGTTTCGTCCGATAAAACTGAATATTTTAAGGATTACAAGTCAGAAAGCAGTACCGATAAGTTTTGTAACTTTGATTTGGACGGATTTCTCTTGAAAATGCGAAACTCTTAAATCTCTATTAATTGGATATTTACTGACTGTTGGAGAAATTATAATTTATATACATCCTCATCGTCATTATTTACTGATTTTTTTTAAGGAAATTTTTTTAACTACTTTTACTCTGTTCATTATTAATTTACTGTTTTTCCTTTTCTGGGGAGACTTTCTTTAATATTTCAAGCGAATCTAAACGAGTTCTTTGTGGAACATGATTTTAATTTGATTTTATAATATTTATATGTACACAATTCCAAAATAATTTTCACATTTTCTCACGTATATAATAATAAAACATATTTTGTAAAGAAGTTTATGGTGACTTTGATTTTTTTTTTAACTTTCAGCTCTTTAAGTTTTTCAAACTGGATTCTCTTGGATGCTGTTATCTTTAATATCAAAGATCGATCTCTAGCCCTTCCAATAAAATACTTCCAATCCTTCCATTCTGTAAAACTTTATTCCTGATTATTCCAATGACTTCCAGTCTTAAAAAATTCTTTAAGGAAGCTGGAACTTCCAATAAGAAAAAAATTTCCAATAAGATTCAAAAAATCCGGTAAAAATGACAAAGATGATTGAAATCAATAAAGAACCCCCAAAGCAGCAAGCTTACAACTGACGTCAATAATTCGGTAATAAAAGAGAGATTAAACAATATTTGTGAACTGGAAGATAACAATTTTTATCAGTAATGAAACACTTGTTAAGGAAATTAACGACAATGCGATAAAGTGCAATCAGTATTAAAGAGGCTAATTAGTTCCTTAAATAAATTTTATTGATATTACATCAAATACACATTTTCGTCATTAGTTTCATCTCAACTTTTCTTCAGCATTAATCATTTTACAAAACCAAGCCACAGCTGCAAAGGAAGTAAATTTTAAAAATGATCAAACAGATAAAGAAAGTAATTTTAAACTTACGCTTCTGGTGAGTGAAGAATGTATCTGAAAAGATGATCTTGCAGGCCAATGTCTTCAAGTAAAGCTCCAACTTTGATGTAAACTGATTCACTAAGGGATATGCTACGTCCTAAAACAGAAATTTCTTCTCTTGATCTGCTGTTTGGTAATTCAGTGCATGACCAGATGATTGCGTAGTTTGTGTAGTCTTTAAAGAACAATGATAATTACTTCTTGATTAATCAGTATTATAAAAATAATTACCGGAAGCATGGATTCTATAGAAATATTCAATGCTTCCACCAGTAACACGTTCAACAGTTCCATTAAGTAAGGCTCTCATTGGACTTTCATCAGGGAAAGCAACTCTAACGATGCTATTTTCGGCCATGCGAGTTCCTCTGAAAATTCCAGTTCTTTCAACGTCAAATACTTGTTGTAATCCTCTACGTGTATAATGATGATCAATGCATTGAACCATGTCAGCATCTTCTCCATTAAGACTGTGTAAAACTTCAAACCAGATTCCAGTGAACTGGAAGGGATTTAATAATTATAATACAGGGAAATTAACAGGGGGAAATTTACTCAGCCTAAAAATTTTTTTGAGTAAAAAATTATTAAAACAAAAGCGTAAAAAAAGAGTAAAAAGTGTAAAAAAAGAGTAAAAAGCGTAAAAAAAAGTGTAAAAAAAGAGTAAAAAGCGTAAAAAAGTGTAAAAAAGAGTAAAAAGCGTAAAAAAAGAGTAAAAAGTGCACTTTTTACTCTTTTTTTACACTTTTTTTACGCTTTTTACTCTTTTTTTACACTTTTTACTCTTTTTTTTACACATTTTACTCTTTTTTTACACATTTTACTCTTTTTTTACACTTTTTACTCTTTTTTTACGCTTTTGTTTTAATAATTTTTTACTCAAAAAAAATTTTAGGCTGAGTAAATTTCCCCCTGGAAATTAATATACTCATATAGAAAAAATGAGCTTACAAATGCTGGCGAGAAGTTCTCTTTGGCTGGAACAGTATCACGACATGGATGATCGAATTCAACAAAGCCAAAAGCACTGCAGAATAAGGCAAACAATATAACCAAGGACTTCATTTTCGGTTTAACAAGCTTAAGAATCACGAAAAGACTAAAAATTAAAAAAGTTTCTATCCATTTATATACTTTTTAACTTAATTATTGTAAATCCTTTTGAGATTACTCTTATCGACATGATAATTTTGTAGAACTTAATACACCTGTGGATTGTGATTAGGTTATCTTATTTTGCTGGAAGTGCGATAATAAAAACCCTCAACGATTGTCTGTATCCGAAGTACTTTAATTTATTATACAAATATGTAGCAGAGATTTATAAATTCTTAAAAAAGCTTCCTTCGCACAGCTTTATTTAAATAATTACCGAGATTGAACTACTTCTAGTGGCCAAAATAGAATCCATGAGTTTGTGAATGAGTTCTTAAAAAGCTTCACCAACCTTCTGTATGTGTGTCATTAAATCAAAAATTGAGTAATGTCGTTTAAAGCTTTTGAAATAAAGCTATACTTTATTCATGAATGAACTCCCGATCAACACACGGAGTGACTTAAAACTTTTCCCTCTAATTATCAGTAGAAATGCTTTGATGGTTGCATACAGCTCGAAAATTCAGCAAATTAATTTTAAAAACATCTGATAGCAAACAAGGTTGAAAGTAGGGTAAATGACCTTGAAATTTGCGCATTTTCACACATGAAATTTACATTTGCTTCAATCTTTTCGGAGGATTGTAACTGAGTCCAACTAATGGTCTTGAAATGCAGGGAATCAAAGATATTTTCTTCTTTATATGTGTAAAGGAAGCTCTGCTGCGTCAATGCAGAGAAATTTGACTTTTAAAGTTGAACTTTGAAATTTGCGCAAAAAAATCTTAAAATTTGCGCACTTTTTCAGTAGCAATCTTTGACATATTTTAAAGAAAAATGTGTAAACAAACATTTTTATTTACATTTATTTGGTGCATCAACTCTAAATTCAAGCAAAAAATGGAGCCATGGATTTAAATTTTTAAGAACTTTTTGATCAAGAATTTCTACAAGAAAGAATGTTTTATTTTGTGGTTGGTGTATATGTGGCTAGCTCGTTCAATTTCATGTCAAGAAGAGACATCAAGAAAAACATGTCTTGTAAATTTATTTCAAGCCCTGACAAGAACAGTTCAAAACTCACATATCAAATATCAAACAAATGTCAATTTTAAAGCACTTCTAAATGTCAGGATTTATTTATAACATATCAAATAAACAAAAAATATTTTAAGCATTAAACATATTTTTGTCTCCATTCTTTATTAACTGATGACTTTCCATACTTAAACAGGACCTTCATGGATGTTTCCTTGAAGTGCTCAAATTTGATCATTTTTGACGGTTTTCTTGACTTTTGCTGGCGTTTTTATTGAAATAAATATTTAGAAATCATTTGCATAATTTTTGTCCTATGTCCTCATATCCATTTCATCAACAATCCTTCTAAAATCCTCATTTTTGGATTTAAATATTAATTAATGTTGACAAAATTTTCTGTCGATTTCTACGATACAAAGTGCGCAAATTTCAAAATTTTCAGAAAATTTTGCGCAAAATTCAAGGTTCAAAAATGGGAACTTTTAAAATGGAATTTTAAAGCAGTTCTACTCATCCTTTTGAATTTGCACCATCAAAATAATTTGAAGCAACGTCAGATCTTCATTTTTTGGTACCAAAATCCCAACTAAATCTATCACATACATCCCAAAATCAAATTTTTAACAAATATTTTTTTTGTATGGGATTTTTCGGGTGCAAATTATTGAGCTTCCTAATGGTTTAATATCACTAAAAATGATGCAAAACCATCTGCGCTGGTGTTCTACAAACATTTCCCATTGATCGTCTGAACAGAAGTGACATTTTTACATATAATTTTAAAATTTTCGTTTTCATACGAGTGCGCAAATTTCAAGGTTGCGCAAATTTCAAAGTCATTTACCCTACGTCATTTTTAAAAAACATTGATAAGGGAAATCTGGGAATATCCCTTGATAATTGTAAATATTCCACTACCTATATAAGAAGATCAGAATTTTAAAGCAATAATCAGTTTGAAATTTAATCCTTAATAGTTTAGTCATGAAAGTTATACTTCTCTGCACATTTGTGTTCCTAGCTGTTGTTTCCCTAGCAACATCATCTCCTCAAAGTAGACCTGTTCATGGAGCAACTCCACATAGCCGTGATCGTAGCAATGAGAGAGATGTTGACATTAACGAAGCACGTCGAGCAATGGGTCGTGGAGATGCATGGTTAGTAAGAACAGAGAGAAGAAATGGAACTGAACGCAATGTTTATGAAGGAAGTTATCAAAGCTCTGAAGGAATGGTGCACTTTAGAATGGTCGTAGCTGCTGCTGATTCACATGTTGTTACCATTATTCGATTGGCTCAAGCTCCAACACGGCAAGGATAAATCTTGCATTTCATTTTTGGCGCGACTTTCTTATCATTCAGCATCAAGTATACTTTTTCAAAAATTTAAAACGCAATAAGATTCAACACACGCAATTGATAAGCTTAAGAATAGCATATCTTCACATCTTCTAATCTTACTGTTTTATTTCCAAAGAAACCTAGTTTCATTTCATTGAAACAAATTAGGAATTCCCATCAGATGCTCATTCTGCTTCTGAAAATGTTGTTTCATCTGGCATGTCTAGATAAGAAAATTTAACATAATAAACTTAATCAACAAGAAATTTTTGCTTTTTAACTCTTGAGATAATAAATCATTTAACTTTTTCACACCTGTAATTCATCCAAGCACTAGACTTCATAAAAAGACTTTAAATTTTTTGAAGGAAGAGTTTAAAAATTGGACACACCCCCTTTGTTATTCTGACTATGCCCATGACACATTTCATATGATGCATGTAGAGGATCCATGATTTGCCTTATAATATTATTTCGAGTCAGCCAGTGAATCAAAGATTGGGAAAAAGTTAAATGATTAGTTCAATTTTCACCGAAACTACTAATTTTGGTCAACAGCTTGTGCTAATTTGACACTAATTGTTGAATGAGTATGATGAAGAAATTCCAGAAGACAAAAAAAAACTGAATAAATATTAATTCCGCAACTTGAACCCATGCATAGCAAGCAGGAAGAAAAGCGACCTAGGTCAAGAAAATGCTTAAGGTCCTCGATAAAAAGAAAGTGCAATGATTGCAAGTAATACTACGGAATTACATTCTGTTATGTCACGATTCGTAAATATTGTGTCCATAAATTTATTTGCCATCCTTTCAAGTAACACGTGTTTGTTGCTAATTTATAGCCGTTATCTCAAAAATCTCAGGCTAGTATATAATACGATGGAAACAATTAAACATACTTCATTCTGTCTTTTGACTGTGCGAGTACCAGAAGTGTTGTAAGAGAAAAAGTAAAAATGGCAAAAGAAGTAAGTCATACTCTAGACGATGCAATTGATAAAGCTACATTTGGAAAGTTTAATTGCATAATGATCGTGATCTTTGGACTCGTGCTTGCGTGTGGATTTCTGGAAACAAGTTCTATAAACATGATTTTACCAATTGCACATTGCGAATTAAATTTGAGCAATTTCCACAAAGGATTTTTAGGATCAGTCAGCTATATTGGAATTATTTTGTCTTCACATTTTTGGGGATTTATGGCTGATACAAAAGGACGAAAAAAAGTCGTTGTTCCAGCATTAATTTTATCATTTATATTTACTGTGATTTCAACATTTGCCAAGTCATTCTGGTTTTTGGCTCTATTTAGATTTTTGAATGGATTTTGGTGAGTTGAATTAGTGCTGCTGCATGTTATTCCTTTGGATTGATTTAAACTGAATAAATATAATTTTCAACAGCATTTGTGCATCTCAAACAATCATTTACGCTTTTCTGGGCGAGTTTTGTTCAATGAAACATCGCGATAGAGTTCTACTTATTGGTAAGTATCGTAATCTTGATCTTGAGAATCATGACCTTATGTGGAAAAAGTGGGTGTGTGAATAATTGCTGAATCATCCAGCCTACCACACATAATCAAAAGTATCTTATCTTATTTGCTTCTTTTATTCTTTTATATAACACAGCTTCCGTAATATATGGCATGTTCTGTTTGATAAATCCCCTCAACGGCATTTTATTCCTCAATCAAGAAGACTGGAATATTTATATTCCTTTCTTAGACCTGAATTATGGTACTTGGAGATTATTTATGTTGATGTGTGGTTTACCAAGTCTCTTATCAGTCATTGGGATGATTCTCTTTATACCAGAATCACCGAAATTTACATACGCTCAAGGCAATGAAGCTGAAACTTTGGAAATTTTAGGATCAATTTTTGTATATAATACGGGAAAGTCAGCAGAGGAATATGAAGTTAAAAGCTTAATTAAGGATCATGAATTTTTGAAAAAAGAAGATAAATCTGTTGGATTTTTAAGATTTATGTGGATGCAAACTTTACCGTTGTTTAAATATCCAAATCTTAAGAATACAATGACTGCCTGTTATCTACAGTTTGGTGTTTGCTTAGCTGCTAATGGATTTTGGACTTTCCTTCCAGAAACTCTTAATAAAGTTTCAATTTGGCAAGAGAAGACAGACTTGGAATCGTCAACACTGTGTCAAGTTCTGTCAAGCTTTGATATTAAGAGTAATGTCACGAGCTTTATACATGAAGAAGGCACATCATGTGTCTCAAAATTGGAACTCAGTACATTTACGAATGTCACCATACTTTTACTTCTACATACAACAATTTTACTTGTAATCTCATTTCTTATAAGAAGAGTTGGAAAACTTGTCATCATTGTGACTTTTATGTTCCTGTGCGGTTCCTCAAGTATTTTATTAATGACAGTACAAATCCCTACAGTATCAGTTTTCCTATATTTTGCGATGCTGCTAGTTATAGTAAACATGAGTGTGATAAATGCATCGACTGTTGAACTTTTCCCAACAGCATCTAGGTAATTTTGATAAACAACTTAATAAATCACTAGAAATTAAGGTTATCTTAACATTTTTAGAGCAATGGCAGTGTCCATATCTATGATGGCTGGGAGAATAGGCAGTTTTGCTGGTTCCAATTTTGTTGGACTGTTGATCAAGAATTATTGCAATTATACTTGGCTGTTACCTGCTGTTTTGTTATTTTCTGGAGGATTTCTTGCATTTACTATACCAAATATTAATAAAAAGGCATTGAATAGATAATTTAAGTTGTTTTATTTCACTCATCCTTAGGTGGTTATGCCACCTTTTGCTGATCATGTACTATTCTTTGGTCACATAACTTTAAGGGGTTTTAATTTTAGAATTCTTCAGTGATTCTATACTGGGGGTCCTCGATTTGAGTAGTTGTTTTGTTCCAAAAAATGTCTACTCAAATCGAATCTATTCAAATCGAGGCAAAGAATCCATACAAAATCACATGTTTTGTTCCAGAGTCCAAAAAATGTATCAAAACAATGAAAATTTTGATAATTTTTTGCACATTTTACCTCGTTTCTTAACTTTTCCTATATGTTTTTGATACCTTAATTTATTTCAACGCATATTCATATTGTTTTTAAACAGAAATTCACAAAAAATATGTTTTTGAAACAAAACAAAAATATGAGAGCCTTGCAAATGTTATTTCACTGAACAATTTGTAAGGTTTTTGAATTTGAACTTTTTAAAACCGTTAATTTTATATCGTTTTTTTTTAATTTTTACTTTAATTTTGTAACTTTAGTATTGATTTTTCGATCAATATGATAAGTTCACGCTTATTGCAGTAAAATTTATGTTTTAAAAATATTTTCTGAAATGTTTTCATCAAAAATATTTGTTTTGTAAACAATTCAAATCGAAGAAAACAGGAAGAAATCTACTCAAATCGAATATTTTGGTGGGTAAAAAAATTTCTGTTCAAATCGAATCTACTCAAATAGAATCTACTCAAATCGAGGACCCCCAGTATTTTAAATGTATCTTCTATATCATGATGAATTATATCATGACTTTTTTGAAATTTAAGTCTGAACAATTAATGTCCTCAATCTGTTAACTTGAAATAATTTGTTCATGCTGCTGACTTTTATAAATTTATAATAAACTTAATAAAAGGATCAGATATTGCGCTTCCATCATTGTTTGACAACAGCACCTTCACTTACTTTTCACTGATAAGTCTTATTATGATAATACAGTTTATATTAAGTACTTTTTAGATAAGTCTGTTTCAGTTTTGTTTTTAAATTCGGTACGATTGGATTTGCAGGAATGGCACAGCAATTTGGATATTCTCTTGAAGATGCAATTGCTCGGGCAGGATTTGGAAAATTTAATTTTATTCTCATTGGTTTATCTGGTTTGATGCTAGCATGTGGTTTCTTGGAAGCAAGCTGTATTAACATTATATTACCGATCGCAGGGTGTGATTTGGATCTTACAAATTTTCAAAAAGGATTATTGGGGTCAATTAGTTACATTGGAATAATTTTATCATCACATTTTTGGGGCTTTATGGCTGATACTCGAGGTCGAAAGAAGATTATTGCGCCTGCATTGTGCTTTTCTTTTCTTTTCACTGTTATATCAACTTTTGCAACGTCATTCTGGTTTATACTTATTTTCCGATTCTTAAGTGGATTTTGGTAAGTGACTGGTTTTATATAGGCTGGAGTGATTGTAAAATATTTAATGAATTTATTAATCAGTATCTGCGCGCCTCAAAGCATTACTTATGCATATTTGGGAGAGTTTCATTCAGTTAAAAATCGAGCTAGAGTTCTACTGATTGGTAAGAACTTGATGCTAATTTTATCCGTTCTAAAATAATTCATAATTCTTAATTGTTTCAGCATCCTTTCTTTATGGATTCTTTGGATTATTAAGTCCTCTTAATGCTTTCATTTTTATAAATCAAGTAAATTGGTCAATCTATATTCCACTCTTAGACATAAATTATGGAACATGGAGATTATATCTCCTTATGTGTGGAGTTCCAAGTGTGATTTCAGCAATTGCTTTAATGATTTTAATTCCTGAATCTCCAAAATATACATACTCACAAGGCGACGAAGCCCGAACAATGAAGATTATTCAGAAAATTTACAAATTTAATACAGGCAAGCCAATTGAGGATTTTGAAGTCAAAACTATTGAAAAAGATTCTGAATTTTCAAGAGGCAATGAAAATAGATCTAAAGGATTCTTTAAATTCATTTGGTACCAAACAGTTCCTCTATTCAAACATCCACATCTTAAAAATACATTAACAGCATGCTATTTGCAATTTGGACTGTGTGTAGCTAGCAATGGCTTTTACACGTTCTTTCCTGAGATACTTAATAAAGTTTCTATTTATTTGAACAACAATCCATCACAAACAAACACGGTCTGTGAAGTTCTTGGAAATTTTGATAAAGATGCAAATATAAGCTCAATTGTTGATAATTGTATTAGCACATTGGAAGCTAGTACTCTTATTAATGTCACACTGTTGACATCATTATTTAGCATATTGTGGCTGGTTACTTCACTAATTATCAATAGAACAGGAAAGCTTGTCATTATTGCAACAATTTTGTTTGCTGGTGGGATATCAAGCATATTGATTATGTTCATAGAATATCCAAGAGTATCAATTTACCTTTATTTCCTATTATTGATTGCAAATGTCAACATGAGTATCGTTAATGCATCAACAGTAGAATTATATCCAACAACTTTAAGAGCAATGGCTGTTTCAATATCATTAATGTTTGGACGTATCGGAAGTTTTAGTGGATCCAATTTTGTTGGATTAATGATCAAAAATTATTGCTTTTATACATGGTTATTACCTGCTGTATTATCCATATCCGGTGGTCTGTTGGCATTTACAATACCTAATATTAATAAAAGAATTAAGTGATGTAAGTAAAGGTTGTTATGGCTGGAAGTACTTTAGAGTTAATAGAAACAAATAATTTTTTTTTTGCATATCTTTATTAGGATTTTGATGATTAAAATTTACAAAAATAGCACGTGAAAAATATTAATTAATTAAACTATTAAGTGTCTCACATTAGCCATTCAATATTTTTCATGCACTGCTTATTAGATGCTAAATATAAGAAAATATGATAATTAAGATTTAAATATGGGCATGATAATAAACTATAAAATGTCTTTTTTTTATATCCATTCAAAATGATTTTTTAAGCCACTAATTGCGAATTAATTAATTCCTTTATTTTTGAAAACTTATTGCTGCATTTAATGTCGCGTAAATACTTTTTCATCAATTCTTTATCACAAATATTGCCAAAATAAATTGAATTTGCGTAGTCAGTTATTTCAAATAACATCATTAAGGCATTATACAAAAGTCTGTCCAAAAACTGTGTGGTTCATTCCAAAACAAAGTTGGTTGATTTTAAATACTCTATGTTGCCATGAATAAATTTACTAACATTTTTTTTAAAAGCATTTTGAAGCTTTTGTTGCTGATTGGCATAATTAACTTGATGATATTCAGGTGAAGCTTAAAATAAAAATTTCTTCTTCTTTTTCTTCTTTTCTGTTGTTTCTGGCTTTATTTCACTGGTATCCAAGTCCTGATTCAGGGACAAAATACAGTAAGTGCTGAGAATAATTAGGATTTACAATCAACTTACTTTATCGGCATCGTTTAGCTTCTTGTTCTTCATTTTCTTTGCTTCCTTCAGTTTCTTTTTCTCTTTTTTAGATAATTTTGTTGGAGTTTGATTCAAATATTCCTGATCAAGTTTAGCTGTATGGCTTTCCATTCGTTGCTTAATGCTCTGTGGAAGAAATAAGATTTTATTAGAATTCTTTACTTACATCAGCAAAAAGGATTCCCAGTGTGTTCAAAATCATAAAATCTAAGCATCAATGCTCAATACTCACTAAATCTTCCTCTGCCTCCCTCAATCTATCCATTTCAAGACAATCAACGACTTCATTTCTCAATTGAACAATTTCTACTAATCTGGCTATAAGAGCATCTTCCTTTGCCTTATCTGAATCTGTTTTGTTTTGCTCTGACTGCGCCATTAATGTACGAATTTCATATTCAACGTCAGCTTGCTCTTCTTCGAGACGATGTGCTGTAATATGGATAGCAATTAGCTTTTAAAAAAGTAATGTTAATCCACAAATCATACCTCGTCTTAAATACATTAACTCAGCTTGCCGTCTGAACAATTCATTCTTTTCATTAACTAATTCAAATAATTGAAGAATGAGCTCTTCAACTTCCTTTGGATTTTTTGTATTTCCACTTGGAAGCGATTCAAGAAGTTCTTCTGTTGTTCTATTGTCTCCTACACCTTCACACCTCTCACGAATCATTTTTTCAAGCATGACACCTTGTTTCTCGAGTCCTTGCTGCTGCACTTCAATTACTTCCAACTCATGGCGAATTTCCTGTAATGGCAACATTTGTAAGACTCGTCTTTGTGGAATGGCAAAACCAGGCAATGACGGTGCTGGACCTTTTCTTCTTTTCCATTTTCCATGTGATGATTTATTTAAATATGGCAAGGAATCAACAGATTCTGCTTTTAGGGAACTCTGACTTTGTCGATGTCTATTTTCAGCTTCTTTATGATCTTTCATTTGCTCCAAATTTTCACATTCATCGGGCGATGTTGGCGAAAGTGGTACAATTTTTCTACGATATGTCACTTCTTGTGTTTCAACATGGCTATTATTTTGGCTAACAGAATTTTCTTCTACAAGTGATTCTTCCAATGGAATTAAACGACGATGATCGCCGTCATGATCTAAACTATCGTTAGTGTTAATTGAGTCTAATTCAGTGCCATAGCTTATTACACTATCATGATTTTCAATTATTTCTGATGAGTTATTATCTTCTGTAGGTGGTTCACTTGTTGTTAAGTATAATGTTGATTCTGTTGAGACAATTACTGAAGGTTTTATAGGAGTGGAGTTTGGTGGTGTGGGTGCCGGTCGCTTCTTCTTCGGTGTCACTAAAGTTGTCTTTAAACAATTTTGTCAGTAAAAGTCAAGTTTATGAATAATGATGATGGCTTACCCTTTTCTTGTCTTCTTCTGATGTCGTACCATTCTGCATTTTATGTTCCAACCAACCTTTAGGTACAGGTGGTGCAGGTGCCTTCTTTTTCTTTCGTCTTGACATTGTTCCGTCAGATGACGAAGCTAATGATGATGTTGAACCTTTAAAACTATGTACAGGTGAATTGTGATTAAACCTTGGCATCGGTTCAGGTGTAATTGAATGTCTGGAATATTTATGTTTAAGCATTAGTTCTTTATCCAATAAAAGCTTAACGACAAATGAGTAATCGGTGGTTAAAGTAGAATACACAATTTTTTTTTTCACATTTCGTCTCTCTTCTTTTCATTTTCCAAACAACAAAAGCTGTTCCCATCATGGCATTCAACGAACGGTTTTCTTTTCATTACAAAACGAATTGAAGAGAGGAAGTTAAAATTTGAGGCGATGAAATGAATTGAAAACGCTTTTTCTCTTTCCTTTGACTAATTAAGTCATTTGTAAACTTAATTTTTTGACCCTCCTGACATTGATATTAAAAATTGCATGCTTTAATTTAAAATGTATTAAGGAGTGTCTGTTGAATTTCGCAATACAAGATAAAGGAGTGTCTGTATTGAAATTTATTTAGGACAGCAATGTTAAATGCTGACACAAAGACATAAAGACCCTGAAGACAAAGCGTCCACAAAGGCACTTAATAATTTAAAGTTCCTTGAAAATCGCTAATAACTTTAAAGACTTGAAAAAATTCAGAATAAGTAATAGAAAATGAATTGAAACCAATGATGGAATACATAATGGAAGAAAAGTATTTCATCAACATTCATAGTATGATTGGCAATTGTGTGACATAATTAGCAAGTGCGGGAAGCACCATTATTGGCAAAATACGTATTAATTGGTCTTTGTATGTATTTTTTATGAGTATTGTATGTCACATTAGCTATGCGGGAACAATTGTTGGAAATATAAAATATAAAGATTCGAATTTTGAAAGAAGAAACAAAAGTGAATTAAGAAATGTAAGCCACAATTATTGTGGCTGGTCGATTCATTAAATCTTTTTTCAAAAAAAAAAAAAAGACTTACAATTGCTTTCGTGGTGTTGGAACTGGTGTTTTATTTCCTATAGAATTTTTATGTGTCACAGATTCATCATCATTTTCGTCATCGGAACCAAATGGATTTGTTGATACCGATTTGAGTGTCATTGATGTTCTTGGAGGTGGTGGTCTTGGGGGCTTCTGAAGTGTACCAAAGGATCTTGAATGTTTCTCTTCCTCTTCATCTTCAGAACAGCTACCGAATGGATTAAGACTTGGTCTTTTTTGATCAGATTTGTTTACTTTTTCTACTACTTCTTCCTCATCATCTCCAAATGGATTTAAATCGCCGGGATATTGATATGATGTACTATTAATTTGTGTTTCGGTGGTTATAGGCTCAGATTCTATTGTTACTGATTCTGACTCTGTTTTTACTGGTTCTGATTGAGATATTACTAGTTCTGATTGGTTTAAAACTGGTTCTGTTTGAGCTATTACTGTTTCTGCATCTATTATTGTTACTGATTCTGTATCGATCTTTACTGGTTCTTCTTCATTTTTTATGGGCTCTACCTCGACTTTTACTGATTCTTCCTCAACTTTAAAATCGTCGTCAACTGTTGGTTCTGTTTCAATATCATTAACTACTTCTACAACTATTTCTTGTGACTTATCATCTGCATTTATTTCATTTACAAAACTTTGTTCCACGTGTGGAATTGTTTGTTCATCTGAAACCTTTACTATATGCTCATCACTTTTTATTACTGCAATTTGTGGCTTTTCTTGTGGCGCTGAAGCGGTTAGTTTATCATTATTGTTAATAATATGTGATGTTGTTATAGTAACTGGATTAATCATTGCCTCTTCGGCCAATTTCTCGAATTCTAATTCGATATCATCTTCTTCTTCTACATGATTTGTGTCTAAATTTACATCACCATCGGATGAAGTGTCTTTTATTAATTGAGATTCACTTTGCTGTTGTGCATTAGTTGTCTGTGCATTATTTTTGATATAATTATCATGTTCCGTAGGTTCTTTGGTAGAATTGACATTGTTGTCACTACTTATTGATTTATTATGGACACTATTATCATCTAATTTTTGTTCACTTATCGAAGATGCTTTAGATGCCTTATTTTTATGTTTATTCTCATCATCGCTCTCGGAATCTGATGACAGTGATTCATTTGTCTTTTCATCTTCGTCATCAGTTTCAACATTCTTTTCTTGGGAATTAATTTGAGATGTAAGGAATGAATTGAGGGCTGGAGAATTTGTTGACGGTGGCAATTGCCGACTAAGACTTTTAGACTTTTCTTCATCGCTTAATGACTTCTTCAATACACTTGATGATTCTGACTTTTCAAAAAGAGCAATGCGCTGTGCAATTGATAAGCGATTTGACTCAACGACCTTGGACGAGCGCTTAGACTTTAATTCTTCATCCGGGCATGTCTCGCAACAGAATTCATTATCTTTTTCCGTTTGATAGAAATTGCCAAGTGTAAGTACAGAATCACAACGTGCGCATCTAAAGCATGTGCGATGATATAAATGTTCTTCAATTACAAGTCGCTCCGCAAAAAATACTGGATTATTGCATTTAATGCAGGGATCTCGTCTAGGTACAACATGTGCCATCTAAAAAAAGAAAATATTTGAAATATTAATTTAATGAGATCATCAAGATTTGTATGTGTTAATAAAAATGTCAGTTGGCATCCAATTGATCTGTCGATTAGATATAAATTGGCATTTTTATTGAATTGGGGATTGTTGAAAGATTAATACGTCTAAAAGAGAATTGTTAGTTGAAGATTTTTGTTGCTTCTTATTTTTTTTGAAAGCTTTAATAGATGTTAATTGAAAACTATTAGCTTCATGTGCAGCTACAATTTTAATGAATTAAGATTTCATTTCCAGCTATTACTTGAGTGATATTTGTTAAGTTTATAATTGGTGTCATGGTCAACGACACTTTTCACTTCACTCGTCATTTTTTGATAACAGAAATAAGTTAATTAAAGCAAAGCACCAAGTAAGCAAATACAAATGATGATTAATAACATAAGCAATAATTTACCTGATAACAGATATAAATGGGAATTTTTTTTATGAAGCTCTTCTGATAAGTGACTTTTTTGCGTTAAATATAAAATTTATTTTAAAAAAAAACTTTAATTCAAATGAGTTTTTTTGTTCTGCCTATAAATTATAGCTAAGGTGAGAATTCATCGACAAACTTATGATTAAACAATAAATCGCTTTCTAATTTAAAAACTTTTTTTTTCTATGTACTGTATATGAAAATCGTGGATTTTTTTTTAATGCTTATTGATCGAACTAAATTTTAGCAGATGATTTCAGGCAAAAAAGTTCCTTTGAGGCTTTCGTCCTGCTATTTTTGTATCCCGGAAAAGAAAATAAAAAAAAGAGAAGAAAAAAAATACAGAAATATAAAATAAAATACCTTTAGTCAATTAAATTGTTCGAAATAAAATGAATAATCGATTCGACTGAGAGAATATAAAAATAATACCAATGAATAATATTTTCAGGTATGATTCATTCAACTTTGTTTTTGTAACAAGTTTTTTTTCAACTTACGTTTCAAGGTTTAAATCAATATTTTTATGCTGCACTTCATATTGAGCGCTTGATAAATAATGTTAAGAAACTTATGATAACAAAACAAATAACAACTTGATTTCTTATCAACTAAAATACTTTAAAAACAAAAGAATCACAATTTTTTTTGTGAGTTGTAAAAGCTTCACGTCTCGTTTGTATTAGTTACGAATGGTGACTAGCGTGATGTATGGTGAATATCATTCTTTATGAGATTTACTGCATGAATAATTGTGAATACGATTTTAAATTTATTCAGGAAGGAGAAGCACCTCCTTTGTTCTCAACTAGTACTGTTAAGTTGACTTGATATATTTCGCAAAATATTTATTCAATTTATTCACAACACAAATTGGCACTTTCTAGTCACCAGTGAAAAATCACTGGATGTATGTCCATATGGACAGTCTCATGATCATCGATGCTGTTTACATTACGGAACTTTTTGCATGTAAACATGTTTTTGCAAAACTTTTTATCAATTTTCAATGTCAACATGAAGTTTTGATGGATATAATGCAATTCATGTGTTCGTTTTGTGATTGCTCACTGATAAAGTCCAACTTTTAAGGATAAAGGGAGTTCTAAAGCTCTGAGGTAATCCAAAAATATATTTTCATTCAAAAATTTATTAACAGAAAGAACATTGAGCTTCAAAATCCCAAATTTCTGATAGACATCACAAGTGAACGAGCCTCAACACAACACAAAAATGAAAGCTCACGAATCAAAAGCTTTTTCTTCAATTTCAACACTCCCTTGCTTTTCAACACGTGCAATATTGAACAGCATTCAATGAAATTTCATTCAAGTGTGTTTATTGGTGTGTGCTGATTTTTTTGGCGATTCATGAATGAAATGAATGGCATGTTTAAGATTTGCATAAAAAAATCACAAACAATCGAGTGAAAGTTTAATAATAAATTGAGTGATTTGTCATTATTCATAAGCGCGCACAAGAAGCACAGCAAGACTTGTCATAAATAATTGTCAAATGAAATGGAAGGGAAAAGATTGAATGAATCATAGAGAAAAAAAAGTAGTCAGTCTGTAAAGGGGTGCATAAGAGCACACAAATACTTGAAAATAAAGAAGTCATTGAGATAGTTTTATAATGAATGATAATAATAATTTTACATTGAGATGAATGGACATAAAAAGCACTTAAATTACTCATTTCTTTCTATATCTATTATATGCTGCTTTTCTTTTATGACTTACCTTTGCAGGTGGAGTAGATGTTGATGATTTATTTGCTTCTGTTGATGAACGTTTACTTAATCTTATTAAATTTTCTGCAAAGAGAATAATAGAAGTAATGTTAACAAAAAAACAACCTTTGGCAAATTAACCGTTAGAGCATCAAGTGAGTGAGATGCGAGGAAAAAGGAAAGAAAAAAAAAATATTGAAAAGTTAATTACTAAGTCATGTATGGACGAGACTTTCTTGATTCTGATTCATCAAATATACATTTTCTCATGACAATAGACGATCGTCATTACGCCACGCAAATCTTCATTTGCAGAATACTCTTTTGTACTTAGGGGGCGTTCATTTATTTCGTTACGCAAAAAAAACACTTTTTTCACCCCCCCCCCCCTGAACGTTCATAATTTATTTTATCATTAAAAAGGTGGAAAATTTAAAAAAATATTTTTGGTGTGAATTTGAAAACAATTTTCGTGAACTTTTTTATAAAAGACAAACGACAGTTAGAACGTTACATACTTGTTGACCCCCCCCCCCCCCTATGTTACATTTTGTTACAATTTTTCAAATCCCCCTCCCGCTAAAATGCGAACGTAATTAGTGAACGGCCCCTTAGGGGGTTGTTCGGAAATAACGTCTACCAAAACTAAGGGTTTGAATGGTACCAATATGCATCTGAACTCTGTCCAAAATAGCAGAGGGCGAAGTCGACTCGAAATTTGTATGAAGTCGAGTGAACTCAAGTCAACTTTTCCATACAAAGTCCGAGTCGACTTCGCCCTCTGCAAAATAGTTTCTGTTTGTAGTGTCACGTCATTAATGAACAACTCCTTTAAATCATCTTAACGTTTCTTCTTACTATTTTCATGCAAACAATAAAAATGACTTCATCGCTTGAGGCTTATTATCCGAGTTTTTATTATGTGAGAAACTGAATTTCTAATAAGAATATGTCTTGACTCTTACCATCATTTGCGAATTTGTACGTTAATGATTTTAAATAACAACAACAATAATAATCGTACTAGAAGACCCGTTTAATTCCCAGTAATTTGCCTTTATATAAAAACAAGCATCAAATCTCACTTCTTATTTAATATTCTTGAATTGTTGCGAGTGTACGCTACACTTAAAGAGACACAATAGAATGCAACGAGCATGATCGTAAAATGAAAAGAACAAAAGAATTACAGACATTTGGAAATACATAAATACAGTCATCTAAATTTATATGACATTTTCGAGAAAGATTCGGAAGAAGACAAATAATTGTTTTCAAGTCATTGAACTTGAAATAGATGAGAGCGCAATTGAATATTTAAAAATTTAACGATTTTCATATTTTTGAATTTTTTGCTCAGAAAAACGTTTTCAAAACAAAATCAAAATGAACGATTCACTCACTTCAAACAATATTATCGCTAATTAAACTTCAATTATCCATTATTCTTATGTAAATTGAACTTCCTACGATGCTTAAAAATGGCACAAACATGATTATTCAACCGAAACTCTTGATATTTTAAAACACAAATAATTTTGAAACAAATCAAATTAACCTCTAAAATTTTTTTCAAAGTGAATTTTGATCCGCTCATTTAACTCAGAAATCCGAGTAAGAAACAAAACTTATTTCATATTAAATCTTCACATAAATGTATGTCTCATCATTTTGCATTAATATATGTGCTGTTTATCTTAGAACTTAGAACTCACAATACATATTGTCAAGTTAAGTATAACTTTATATCGAATAGACAGCATTACATTTTATGCATGCAGAATTGTAAAGTGAGATGAAAACGGAGAGCATAAAATGATACTTTAGTTATAAAATTATCACTCTGAACTTCACTTTGGCGTCTTAATGTATGTAACAAGAGAGAAATAATAATAATAATAAGGAGGGCATGATACTATCCTTTAGCAAGAACAGCAAACAACACGATAGTGAGAAAATAAATTTCAAAATGTGCGAATTATTTATGCAAATAAAGACGACGTTAATGCTATTGAATATGAATAGAAGGAAGAAATATGTGTGTGCACATATGAGCATGATAATCGAAATTGTAAGACAGAAAAAAAAAGTAGAAAAGAATATCATGATAATTTACTTGCTTATTAACACTATAATGTGAATGTGTTATTGCTCTTTTGCCAGTGACTAAAGGATGACTAAGAACATAAACTGTGTGTTCTTTCTTTCTTTCTTTCATGGTTCTTACTCTTAACCCGTTCTTATGATTAATTCATTTTATTACGTATGTATAGTGAGGGAATATAAAACAGGATTCTCACATGTGCGTAAATATTGAATATTTATGCAGTACAGAAATGAATTTTATTGCTAGTTTAATACGGAATGGGTTGGGCGTTTTCTTGTTCCAAAAATATTTTATGACATCTAGTTAGCAACTGAAGACTACTCAAAATATTTCTGACAATTATCACGTCTTGTTATCGTCTCTACTCTGTAGTCCAGTGGTTCTCAAACTTTGAGGACCGCATCTCAAAAAAACAATTTTTTGTGTAAAACAGAATTAAAGGCTTTGACAACAAAGTTGAGTATCGTGGAGCATATTTTAAGAAGCTCTACCTACAGTCTGAAGTTCTCTCATCTAAAGCAAACCACAAAGTCATCCCAGCAAATTACTATTTACGTATCTGATCAAATTAATCACAAAATGTTTCTAGAACTGCAACTTGACTTTTTTATGATTGCGCCTAAATATTTTGTCTGAATCTCCATTAGTGTATCTTAACATGTATTTAATTATTGCCAGAAAAATAGTAGCAAAGTGATTTTCAAAAAGTGTATCATCTTTCTGTTGAATAATAGTCTTCTACCTGCATTTTCATGGAATTATAAGACACAAAAAAGGAAGAGAAAGATGAAGATGATGTTAAAGAATAGGAGAAATAAATTGCTAAACAAGAGATAAATTTGTTGAGATACCTAGTTATTATAGCAGATATATATCCACACCGAAAAAAATCAGAGAAGAAATGCTAAACGAGTCGGATGGTGTTGTTAATTATTAGATGTATCTTTTCTATTAAATCTAGTAGTGCAACATCATGCTGTTAATAAATATTTGTTGCAGCATATATATGAGATTTCTTCCTTGATGTTTGATGTTGATTCACATCATATGATGTGAAGCAGGGGCGTAGCCAGAAAATTTTTAAGGGGGGGGCCCATTTTCGAAAATTAAAAAAAACGTTATTTTGTATCCTTAAATCTATATTCATTCTTCATAAGTTTAAATATTTAATTCATTATTCATACATTCAATTTAATTTTTCGTGCTGATTTTGACATTTCTTTCATCACTTCCTCTACATTAACTGGTTTTTCTCTATAAATGCTTAATAAAACAATTATCAGATTTTTGTAGGGGGGGCCCGGGCCCCCTATGGCCCCCCCCTGGCTACGCCCCTGATGTGAAGAGAGCAAGAAAGAGGTGGTGAAAAGATAAGACGCAATATGTAGACACAATCTTCATTGCATAATTTTATTTTTCTTATTCCATCATGTTCGATAAAATTGCTTAGTAAAATGCACACCTAGCAAAAGAGCACTAAATAGGAAGAAAAGACAGTACAGCGAAGAAAGAAAGTCGATGTACCTCGCCTAGAGTAATAATATTGCGCAGTTCGTTATGATTCAATTTTATTTAATAATCATTTGGAACTGATGGTTAAAAAATTGTTATTTTCATTTCAAGTAACATAAAACAGTCGATTACGATGAAAATAAGCCATTTCTAATGTATTTCCAATATACTTTACTTTGTTCAATCACAACTTTTTTTTTATGTGCTCATATGTACGCCATAGACGTAATATAGCATAGTCAAAAAGCCGCATGCAGCTGATTGTACCTCACTTATGCTTTCACTTTCGAACCTAATATGTCTCTTATTGCTGCTGTTGCTCTAATACTATTTTTTTTTCTATATGTCGATAATAATGTCGATTAAATCTCACACTATGCCATTGAAATGTGCACATGGAAGAATTAAATTATATTGATCAGCCATGCTGTCTCGAGACATTGAACCTCGCAACATAAAAATAATAATAATGTGCAAGAGATGTTAATGGAAGTTCAAATCGATACTTTGATTTTTTTTTTGTGCAACTTTCTTTCCATTTTTGTCTTCCTACTGTTTCGGATCGACGTGACGATGATGATGACGGTACAATGTTTCTGCTGCTGCAACGTAATTATGGCAATTTTGCTAATCAATTAACTGTAATTACATAAATATTGTCAATAAGCACAAACGACATTGTTTTCCTCAAAAACTTATTTCAATTGTCTTCACTCATTATGGCTCTGTAATTATTTTATGACTGGATAAACATCAAATAAAATAGAATAAATTTCTGAGAAGTTCTCATGCCGCTCTTTTCTTCTTAACTGACCAAACAATGCAGTTTTTCTTTTGTGCCATTATTTGGTTGTGTATTTTTTTTTTCTCTTTTATATAGAAGCCCTTTTTTGAAGTCAAAAAATTTATTGCTTCCTTATGAATTTTTTATTCATGTTTTCTTCTTGCTTCTTTTAATTCTTTTCTCACATTTATTCTTGCAGCCATCAAAAATTTTGTGAAACGAAAAAAAAAAATAAAATCTTTATAGAAAATTAAATGAGATCAGTCAGGTGGTCAAAAAGGGAAGGGAAAATGGAGTTGTTTTATGGTCTGAACGCATTTTATGGTAATTTATGTATTTTTAATGATTTTTATAGAGATCAAAAGAGTCATTTTGGTATAGAGTCTATGATGAATCTTCTTTGTGAAATTTGCCTGATCAGCATGAGGTTTGGTTGATTTAGGGTTCTAATTTACTACTCTACTAGATTTAGTGCCCCAAAAACAAACCCTTAATTTAGTTCATAGTTAAATAAATCAAAGACTGCTCTCAAGCTTGTCACTCAACCCGACAAATTGCAAAGATCCCCAAATTATCTCAAATAATAGATGCTACACTTACTAAGAAGAAGCATAACAAGAGAAACATAACAATATTATAGAAGAGAAATTTATTTACTGTAGCATGTGCAATAATTGCGCC